CAAAGGCTCTGGCATAGTCAATAAAGCAGAAATAGATGTTTTTCTGGAACTCTCTTGCTTTTTTGATGATCCAGCAGATGTTGGCAGTTTGATCTCTGGTTCCTCTGCCTTTTCTAAATCCAACTTGAACATGTGGAAGTTCATGGTTCACGTACTGTTGAAGCCTGGCTTGGAGAATTTTGAGCATTACTTTGCTACTGTGTGAGATGAGTGCAATTGTGCGGTAGTTTGAGCATTCTTTGGCATTGCTTTTCTTTGGGATTGGAATGAAAACTGACCTTTCCCAGTCCTGTGACCATTGCTGAGTTTTCCAAATTTGCTGGCATATTGAGTGCAGCACTTTCACAGCATCATCTTTTAGGATTTAAAATAGCTCAACTGAAGTTCCTTCACCTCCACTAGCTTTGTTCATAGTGATGCTTCCTAAGGCCCACTTGATTTCATTTTCCAGGATGCCTGGCTCTAGGTGAGTGAGTGATCACACCATAGTGATTATCTTGGTCATGAAGATCTTTTTTGTACAGTTCTTCTGTATATTCTTGCCACCTCTTCTTAATATCTTCTGCTTCTGTTAGGTCCATGCCATTTCTGTCCTTTATTGAGTCCATCTTTGCATGAAATGTTCCCTTGGTATCTCTAATATTCTTGAAGAGATCTCTAGTCTTTGCCATTGTATTGTTTTCCTCTATTTGCATTGATCGCTGCTGAAGGCTTTCTTATCTCTCCTTGCTATTCTTTGGAACTCTGCATTCAAATGGGTATATCTTTCCTTTTCTTCTTTGCTTTTGGCTTCTCTTCTCTTCACAGCTATTTGTAAGGCCTTCTCAGACAACCATTTTGCCTTTCAAATCTTATTTAATGGCCTGCCTCAAAGGACCCTGCCTCTCTGCCTCTTGTTCAGTCGCCAAGTACTCTTCGTGACCCCATGGACTGCAGACACCAGGCTTCCCTGTTTCTCATCATCTCCCAGAGTTTGCCAGAGTTCATGCCCATTGAATCGGTGGCGCCGTCCAGCCATCTCATCTTTTGTTTCCCTCTTCTCCTCCTTCCTTCAATCTTTCCCAGCATGAGGGTCTTTGCCAACGAGTTAGCTGTTTGCATTGTGTGTGTGTGCAAAGTCGCTTCATTTGTGTCCAACTCTGTGACCCCATGGACTGTAGCCTGCCAGGCTCCTCTGTCCATGGGTTCTCCAGCAAGAATACTGGAGTGGGTTGCCATGCCCTCCTCCAGGGGATCATCCCAACCCAGTGATTGAACCCATGTCACCTGTAGTCCTTGTATTGCAGGCAGAATCTTTATCACTGAGCCACCGAGGAAGAAGCCCAGCTCTTCGCATTAGGTGGCCAAAGTATTGGAGCTTCAACTTCATTCCTTCCAAAGAGTATTCAGGGTTGATTTTTTTGAAGATTGACTGGTTTGATCTTGCTTTCCAAGATGCTCTCAAGGGTCTCCTTCAGCATGACATTTCAAAAAGCATCATTTCTTCCTTGCTCTGCTTCTTTAATGTCCAGCTCTAACATCCATACATGACTACTGGAAAGACCATAGCCTTGATTATATAGACCTCTGTTGGCAAAATGAAGTCCTTGCTTTTTAACACACTAAGTTTGTCATAGCTTTCCTGCTTAGAAGCAGTGGTCTTCTAAGTTCATGGCTTCAGTCACCATCTGTGATTTTAGAGCTGAAGAAGAGGAAATCTGTCCCTGTTTACACCTTTTCCCCTTCTATTTGCCATGAAGTGATGGGACCGAATGCATGATCTTAGTTTTTTTGCTATTGAGTTTTAAGCTGACTTTTTCACTCTCCTGCCTTCACCCTCATCAAGAATCTCTTTAGTTTCTCTTCGCTTTCTGTCATTAGAGTGGGATTGTCTGCATATCTGAAGTTTTGATATTTCTCCTGGCAGTCTTCTAGTTTGTGAGTCATCCAGCCCAGCATTTGTCATCATGTGCTTTGCATATAAGTTAAATAAACAGAGTGGCAATAACAGCCTGTACTCCTTTCTCAATCCTGAACCAGTCATTTGTTCCATACAGGGTTGTAACTGTTGCTTCTTGACCTGCATACAGATTTCTCGGGAGACAGGTAATAGTCTGGTATTCCCATCTCTTTAAGAGTTTTCTGCAGATTGTTGTGATCTACACAGTCATAGGCTTTACTGTAGTCAGTGAAACAGAGGCAGATTTTTCTTGGAATTCCCTTGCTTTCTCTATGATCCAGCAAATGTTGGCGATTTGATCTCTGGTTCCTCTTCTTTTTCTAAACCCAGGTTGAACATCTGGAAGTTCTCGGGTTCACATAATGCTGAAGCTTAGCTTGGAGGATTTGAACATAACCTTGCTAGAATGGGAGATGAGTGCAATTGTCTGGTTTAACCATTCTTTAGAACTGCCCTTCTTGGGAATTTGGGTGAGGATTGACCTTTTCCAGTCCTGTGGCCACTGCTGGGTTTTCCAGATTTGCTGACATATTGAGTGCAGCACTTCACTAGCATCATCTTTTAGGATTTTAAATAGCTCTGCTGGAATTCCATCACTTCCACAAACTGTATTGTTTGCCTGTTAAACTAAAATGCCTCGTTCATCTCATAGATAATCTGACCCTGCCCACCTGTGAATGGCTGCAAAAAAATTTACACATTCTTTCCAGAGGCTGGTTCTTCCTGGAGATATTTGCAAGACTGAAAACTCTTTTTACTTTACTTCCTCACTGCCTCCTTCTCTATTCTGCCTTTTGACTATGGATCCTCATTGCTTCTTTCTTGGGTTCTATAAAAGAACCTGGCATCCAGAGCCAGACAGGATGGTTATTTTGAGACGTTAGTCTGCCATCTCCTTGGTCAGCCAGCTTGCCTCTACACCTTGTCCGTTGGATTCATTGCCCTGTTGTGCGGCAAGCAGGATGAGCATGGACTTGGTAATACTGCTTCCATTTTTTTTTTCATTACAAGCATACCTCGTTTTATTGAAGGCTTGTGGCAACCTGGCATTGGCAGATGATAGCTTTTTTAGCAATAGAATCTTTTAAAATCAAGATATGTACATAGTTTCCTTTTTTTTTATGTACGTAGTTTTCTTCAGGTATAATGCTACTGCATACTTAATAGACAGTATAATGTGAACGTAACTTTTATATGCATTGGAAACCAAAAAATTCATGTGACTCACTTTATTGTGTCAACTTAAAAACAACCTGAGAGTTGTGAGTTAAGTTTTATTTGGGATAAAATGAGGACTGCAGCCAGGGAGACAGCATCTCCTATAGCTCTGAGAGACTGCTCCAAAGAGGTAGTGAGGGAAAGTGAATATAAAGATTGTGGTGAAGGGGGAGTTCAGTGCAATCAAGCTCTTAACCTAGTAAGAGGTTTTCTGCTAGTCATGAGGAGCTGAAGTCTTCATGAAGGGATTTAGTGCTTTTCTAGATATGAGGAGATGCAAAGATTGGGGTCATGAAATCAGTTCTTGAAAATATCCAACTATCTAAAGACCCGTTCCACCAGACTCTGTGGAACACAGAGTGCCTTATTCTCTGCCCCGAGCTCCCTCAGGGGGTGTTGAAGGTCAACAGCTGCAGCAGCACAGTGTTCGGTCTCCACAGGGGCAGATGGCGAACGCCCTTGGCAAGCACCAGTTTATAGTTGACAATTGACGATAATTGCTTTATTGTGGTGGTCTGGAACTGAACCTGCCGCATCTCTGAGGGATGCCCTGTAACTTACTGCCACTTGAGATACTATCTCCTTTGCTTGCTTACTTTTGTAGTGTCTCCCCTCCTACCTTAGCTTCAAACAATAGTTGTTCTCAATATTCATCGAATTATAAAGTCCATTTGATTTTAAATTTCCCTTGAGGTTTTTATAAAGTTTTATTTATGTAGTTAAGATTTTTTTCACCAGTAAAAATAATTCCTTTTTCCCTTGTTATTTAGACTTTTTAAATTATTTTAACTATTTTGTTACATGTTACTCTCTAGAAAATGCATCCCCTTTAGTTTTTAAACCTGTGAACACATGGCTATACGTTGTAGATATGGTAACTAATACATGAGAACTGAATGTAGTCAGGTGGTTCAGTTTGTGAACTGAAATTTGTGGTAGATATTTTTGTGGTTTATGAGAATATGTTTCCATAGATGTTTTACTATGTGGACTGTAAACTGGACCCAAATTTGGTTTAAAGGATAAATCATTTTTATAAGATGATTTAACTTTTTGCATGGGAATGAATGAAAAATTCTAAGGGTCCTCCAGCATTACTGGATCTTCCCCTCTGGTTTCTGGAGTCTTGGGAGCAGAAAGGGAACGGCTGAGGCTTCCTGACTGTAATCCCTTATCTTACCCAAGCCCTCTGGTTCCCGACCTTCCACCTAGCAGTGGCTCAGGCTTGAAGTGGCTTCCGGTGTCGGGTCGCCCTCCAGCCGTTGTCCGCTGTGCGCCTGCTGCACCGCTCCTCTCCTGTCTTGCTGGGTCTTGTGTCCTGTCAAGAAGATGGGCTGTGCCAGTCTAAGTGGTTTTGACGCTCCCGTGTCGACTCTTTCCTGACTGCTGCCGGCAAAATGGATTGGGACACAGCGTGAGAAGCCCGAGGCTGTATTATGTTCAGTTGACTGCCAAGGAACTGCCCTTTTCTTTGTTGAAGGGTCTAGTACTTCCTTTTCTCTTGCTTCTCTGTGCAGTCCTTGGCATTGAAGACTGAGGAATTAAAGTTAATTGCTTCTGGGCAAAGTGTGTTTTCACTGATGTTACATTTAAAATAATGTCACGTTTGATGGCTTACTTGGAGAAGTTTGCTCTTGTGTGATGCTCTAGTAATGAACTGTTATTTCACTGTTTTACAGAGTACTTAAGATTTCACGTATTTTTGCTGAACTTGTTAAAAAAAAAAAGCGCTTGGGATGATGGATTAACAAGAACATTGAAATTCTGTGAAAAGTTTCAAATTGGAGCATATTGAATTTTCACCCTAGTCCAGCAGCTGTGCTGCTCACTTAAATACAGATGAATGAAGACCCCATTCGGAAAGACACCTGGCCAGCGGTCCAGAGCTGATGCAGGTAGGCAGTGCAGTTCTACACTTACTTTAGTACAATAAATTTGAAACAGTTGTAAAAATGGGGAATGCTCTCATGTAATTCCCAGTGGTTTGCTATTCTTAAAGCTTTGTGATTTCTAGTATTTTATATATGTGAAAAACACAGGTTTAGGTTTTTGAAACAAGGGATCATATTAATTTTTTCTGTGGTCTTTTGCAGTGAGTTATGGATGTCCAGTAAATTTAGCAAGTGAATTGTAAATACGTAAGAGGTTTATAGTGTATAGTAAGTAAAAGTTTTATCATTGGTTTTTGAAAGAAGTGAAAGTGAGATGACTAGATGAGTATTAGATTTAGTGAGGTTTAGAGTATTTAATAGGAAAAAAGGTAAACTTAGTTTTTTGTGTATTTACTTGAAAGAACTTTACTGGAATGTACTGTATGGAAATGAAATGAATATTTAATAGAAATTCTTATTTTTGTGGCATACAGCTGATACTAGAAGTTTAGATTTTGCATGGTTTTTGTCTACCCTAGAAAACTAAAAGGTAAAAATCTTATAGGCTACAAAATAAAATAGGTAAGTAATATATTCTTTTGTTGTTGTTTAGTCACTAAGTTGTGTCTGATTTCTTTTCGACCCCATGGATGTAGCCCCCCCAGGCTTCTCTGTCCATGGGATTTCCCAGGCAAGAATACTGGAGTGGGTTGCCATTTTTTTTCTCTAGGGATCTTCACTGAGCCATCAGGGAAGCCCAGTATTCTCTTTTGGACTTACATTTTTCTCCATTCCAGAAATACATTTGAATATTGAAAATGTCTGTCAAATACAAGTGAATCTGAGAATTCAGCTGGCAGAATTACTATTAATCTTACAAATAGTTGCTGTGTGGTTTAGAATTTATTTATTCGCTATGGTGTTTGTAATTCCTTTGTAGAGGAGCCACAGGGATTAAGATTTTAAGTTCCTTTTATCTCTTTGATTTTAGTTCCTCTTGTACACATTGATTCAACTGTTATATTTGTCCATAAGATTAACTTGCAGTCCTGGTGGCAGACTGGAGTGTAAGTCAGCTGAGAGTTTACTATTCTGATTCCAACTCCTCAGTTCTATCCTGCTCCTTATTTCGTTACTTCTTAAAACTTTTAAAATAATTTATTTATTTTTGTTTACACTAGGTCTCTGTTGCTGCGTTCAGTTTCTCTAGTTTCTACTAGCAGGGGCTGTTCTTTGCGGTGCATTGCCGTGACTTCTTGATGCAGAGCACAAGCTCTAGACACACTGGCTTCAGTAGTTGCCACATGCGGGCTCTAGAGCGCAGGTTCAAGTTGCACACAGGCTTAAATTGCTCTGCAACATGTGGAATCTTCTCAGACCAGGGGTCAAGCTTGTGTCCCCTGCATTGGCAGATGGATTCTTATCCACTGCACCACCAGGGAAGTCCTGTCCTGCTCTTTTACTAGCTGTGTAAACATTGGTACATTTTGTATCTTCTTAAGCCTTGTTTTTCCTCATCTAAACAATAGTACTGTTATGTATCTACTGGGGTTGTTATGAAGAAACAAATGTGTTTTTGTGTGTTAGGTGCTTAGCTACATGCCTACCACATTATAGCTGCAGTGTTTTAAAAAAACAGTTTTTGTTGATCATACTATTTTAACAGAATGTTTATTTCATCTCATTTGTTGCAAAAATTGCTGTCAGCAAAAGTTTTTGTTGATCAGCGAACCCCCCATGTTTCTGTAGCTTGAAATAGTAATTGTACCCCAAGTTTTTTTATGCACACCATTTTGAATTCATCACTTCTATTTTCTTCATTGATTTAAAGTCATATTCTTAGTTAGAAGAGAGAATTGATTAAAGTGATGTGTAGTATGGTGTAAGTAGTTGAAGGAGCTAAACCAGGAGATGTTACTGTTAAGGGAGAGATTGTCTAATCCTAGCCAGTACTTTGATCTTACATTTTCTTATCCTTTGATAATTTCTTAGAGCACATGGCGTAGCACTAAAGACAGAGTGGATACTCTGTAAATTGCAGTTGGCCTGTTGTTTAATATTTTAACGTGTAAGACTCTGGGGTCATTTATTTTTCACTGTTATGTATTATACTCTTAGATTACTGATCCCTTGATCAGTATTATTTATAAAGTTATCCTAATCATTTTTCCTGTTAACATAAATGGAGGCTCTGTTACTTTTAAATTCTTATACCAGTAACAGATGTGCCCATTAACAAATAAAATTCACCTAGAAAGGGGGTTTCTTACTTTCATGCATCAAGAAACCTAGATAGACATTCCAGAGTTGCTCTGGTGGCTCAGATATGCCCTTAGTTGGGTACATTTCGAAACTGAAGCAGGGAGCCTTCAGCGTGTAGGGCTCCTAGGGTATTTCTCTTCCACTGTGGGCCGTTGGATGTCTGGACTTATTACTTACGGCTCCCAGAGCAAGTCCCTGAAGAGAAACAGGCACAGATGCGTGGTGTTTTCTGTTGGGAGTCTTGAAAGTTATATGGGTTCACTTTTGTTGCATTCTGTTCATTGATGCAGTCTCAAAGGTCTGCTCAGGTTCAAGGGAGTGGGCATGTACTCCGCTCTGTGGGAGAAGTGTCAGAGAACTGTGGTCATGTTTTTAAAACCACCACAGTGGGAACATCCTAATACCTGACAGTGTTTGTCATTAGGGCATGTGTGATCAATGAAAATTTGAAAATTGAATATTTGCATTATCTCTATATACATAGTTCACTATAATAGGGATTTCTATTTTTTAAATAATTTAGATTTATTTATATAATTATGTTGGACTTTAATTGGTTTCTAAAGTGGTAGTTTATATATACCTACTGATGTTGAACTGCAAGTCCTTTTACCTGATAAAACTTTTTTTCATGTTTTCCTCCCATAGAGTTAGCCTCCATTTTTACCTAGTTTATGAAATATAAATTTTCTCCCTTTATGACATATTTTAATCATACTGATAAGTACAGGGAATGGTAATAATAGATGGATGTGCCTAATACTCAGATTAACAACTATTTTTACTATATTCGGATGTTTTTAAAACCTCAATTTTTATATTTATCAATCAATAGAAATTCATGAGTGAAATGTCAAATAGTGCCAAAGACTTTTATCAAAAAGTAGGCATTCTGTTTATTTTGATTTTTGCTTTCAGTATTTGTAAATAATGAGTATACAAATTTCTCCTTATTAGATATTGAAATCTGTTGAAGATTCTTTTTCACATAACATCTTTTTCTCTCAGCCTTTTGGTTTTTTTAAAAAAATGAAGTCTATTTAATTTTTTTATTGAAATACAGCTAGTTTGCAGTGTTGAGTTAGTTTCAGGTATACAGCAAAGTGATTCGGTTGAATATGTGCTGCTGCTACTGCTGCTAAGTTGCTTCAGTCGTGTCCAACTCTTTGCAGCTCTATAGACTGTAGGCCATCAGGTTCCGCTGTCCATGGGATTTTCCAGGCAAGAATACTGGAGCGGGTTGCCATTTTCTTCTCTAAGGGATTTTCCTGACCCAGAGATTGAATTCTTGTCTCTTAACGTCTCCTGCATTGGCAGGCGGGTTCTTTACCACTAGCGCCACCTGCATATACATATCTGTTTTTCAGATTCTTTTCCATGATAGGTTATTACAGGATATTGTGTATTTTTTCCTCCGCTGTATGGTAGGTCCTTGTTTACCTGTTCTATATGTGATAGTGTGTTTATGTTAATCAGAAACTCCTAATCTATCCCCTCCCCTGATTATATCTCCTTTGGTAACCATAAGTTTGTCTTCTATGTCTGTGAGTCTATTTCCGTTTTGTAAATAAGTTTATTTGTATTATTTTTTAAATTTCGCATGTAGGTGATAGCATGTGATATTCTTCCTTGACTTCAGTTAATATGATAATCTCTAGCTTTATACATGTGGCTGCAGTGCCATTATTTCATCTATTTTTATGGCTGAGTAATAGCCTATTGTATATGTGTACCACATCTTTATCCATTAATCTGTTGATGGTTACTTCTAGGTCTTGGCTGTTGTAATTAGTGCTGTTATGACCATTGAGATGCATGGATTGCAGTATCATATGGTAGCTCTGTTTTTAGTTTTTTAAGGAACCTCGGTACTGTTCTCCAAAATAGCTATACCAATTTACGTTCTCCAACCGTGTAGAAGAGTACCACACTCTGTAGCATTTGTTTGTTGACTTTTTAAAGACAGCCATTCTGACTGGTGTCTTATCAGTCAGATATCTCATTGTTTGTACTTTTGATTTGCATTTCTTTAATAATTAGCAATGTTGAGCTTATTTTCATATGCCAGTTACCCATCTTTATGTCATCTTTGGAGAAATGTCTGTTTAGATCTTCTGTCCTTTTTTGATTGGGCTGTTTTTTGATACTAAGCTGTATGAAGTTTGTATATTTTGAAAATTAATCCCTGTTGGTAGCATCATTTGCAGATATTTTCTCCCAGTCTGTAGATTGACTTTTTGCTTTGTTAAGGTTTTCTTTGCTGTATGAAAACTTTTTAAGTTTAATTAGATCCCATTTGTAAAATTTTTGCTTTTATTTCCATTACCATAAGAGACAGAACCAGCTGCCCACCCCATCCCCCGCCCCGTCTGCTCCCCCCAACTCCCCAAATATTGCTGCGATTTATGTCAGAGTGTTCTGTTTTCCTCTAGGATTTTTATAGTACCCAGTCTTACATTTAGGTCTAATTCCTTTTGAGTTTATTTTTGTATATGGTGTTAAGGGAATGTTCTAATTTCATCCTCTTACATGTAGCTGTCCAGTTTTCCCAGCAGTACTAACTGAAGAGACTGTCTTTTCTCTATTGTTTGTTCTTGCCTCCTCACAAACCTTTAATTATATATTCTTGCCACTCACAAACTCAAAAGTGTGTGAGTTTATTTCTAGGCTTTCTATCCTGTCCATTGATCTCTATGTCTGTTTTTGTGCCGGTATCATACTGTTTGATTACTGTATCTTTGTAGTATAATCTGAAGTCAGGG